CCGTGGAGCGAGGGGGGGGGGGGCGGGGGTGCGGTGGGGGGGGGGAGACGTCCCGTCCATGGGTGTCCCCGGGGACAGCCCCTGTGACAGCCACTGTTGTCCCTGGAGCCCCATTCACCTCCGGGGTGATCCCAGCCCCACCGTGGGGATGTGTGGTGTGTCCCCCGTTTGCAGGTGGCACCCTCCCCTCTGTCCCCGTGCCCCCCAGACCCACAGTGGGTTAAACAGGGGGGTCACGGTGGTCTCCCCTGCCCCGCAGCTCCCCCCACCTTCACGGAGACGCCGCCGCAGTACGTAGAGGCAAAGGAAGGCAGCAGTGTCACCTTGACCTGCATGGCGTTCGGCAACCCCAAGCCCATCGTCACCTGGCTGAAAGAGGGAGACCTTTTGGGTGCCAACGGCAAGTACCAGGTAGGTGGGTGGCGGGGGCTGCTGCGGGGGGCTCCTGGGCACCCCGCCGGCGGGGATGGTATCGACGGGACCGCGGTGGCGGCAGCTCTGCTGTGCCTGGAGCCTGGTCTGCTTTCTCAGCACTTCTTGCCGAGATGCTCATTTCCCTCCTCCTCATCTCTGCTGAACAGCAGCCTCTAACGCTGCCTGCCCTTGGGTACAGGCTAGAGACCCCCTGGGCATTTAGGGCAGCCTCATTCCCTGCTGCTCCCTGGGGAATTTTGTCTGGGAGCCAGTTGCTATGCCAGGTCCCGGAGATGGGGTGGGGGCTGCAGCCTGGGGACGTGGTGTCCCCGAGCAGGGATGGATGCAGTGGAGGGTTTGGGCAGGGAGGGCTTTACACCCCTCCCAGGACCCTTTTTGCATCCTGGAGGCTCCCAAGCAGAGATTCCCCCTTGAGCTGTAATTGGTAAATCAGGCATTGGAATCAGTGCAGGCACTAATGAGAGTAATTAGGAATCATTTGTTACTAATTGAAATAGAAGGATGAGGCAGAATGAGGCAGGGAGGGGGGAGCCTGACTGGGAGCAGGACTCCCTGTGCATGGGGGAGCTGCTGCCCCAGGGGCGATGGTCCATTGCCTGTCCTTCCTCGGCTGTGTCCCCAGGGAGGAATTCAGCTGCTCCTCTCGCAGCTGTGAGGTGGCCCCACGGGGAGGATGGTGGCCGAGCCAGGGTCTCCCCCTCATATCCCACCCCAGCAGTGGAGCTGGTCCCGCGGGAGCAGGGGATGCTCCGGCGAGGCATCCCACTCCTTGTAAAGCACTGATGGTGTTGGGGCGCTTGGCAGGTGTGGTTTGGAGTCTGCCGCCTGCCAGTCATTTCTGCGGGAGATGAATACGTTGTGAGGGTTATTTATTTATTTTATTTTTTTTTCCTTCCCCTTGGCGTCGAGCAGAAATGCGTGTGTTGGTTTATTAATATCCGAAGTCTTGCAGAGCGGGGAAACCCGTTTCTCATCCGGCCCTAAAGGCGCCGGCGGCTCTCTGCTGTGGGAAGCGGGGAGGGGAGGGTGCTGAGCTGGGGCTAGGGTGCTTCCCCCTGGGGGTCCCTGCCCACGCTCCAGGGTCTCCCCTTGTTGTCCCCAGGTGAGCGACGGGAGCCTGACGGTGCTCTCCGTCAGCCGGGAGGACAGGGGTGCCTACACCTGCCGGGCGTACAGCATCCAGGGGGAGGCTGTGCACACCACGCGCCTGCTTGTTCAAGGTGAGATCTTCCACCCGAGCCTCTCCGCCTTGTCCTTGGCTGCTGGCATCCCCAGGGGGCTGGGAGGGGGCTCCGTGGACGGAACTCTGTGGACCCAACTCCATGGGCCGCGTCGTGCTGGCTGCCTTGTGGCTCCACATCCCATTTGTAGGACGGAGGAATCCACTTAATTGGGGCACCGCAGTGGCCGTGCCGAAGCGGCCGTGCCGATGAACAGCTGGGCCCCAATGGCGGCTTGTCTTTGTTCGGGAAGCGGAGAAAAGATTGAGGCTGTCACAAAGCGCCTTGTCAGATAGCGGTGATGCATGGCAGGCCTCCTGCTCCTCGCTCCCTCTTTTATTAAATAAATCTTTAATTAGGTCAACAGCTACCAGCGGAGAGAGGAGCGCGGGGTGTCCTCTGCTCCGCTTTCACCGTGTCAGTGAGCTGTGGACGCTTGCTGCCGGCTCCCAGCAGTTTGCTCTTTTCCCCCTGGATTTTTCCCGCGGGTGATGCGATCCTGGAAGCGTGCTCGGGATGAAGAGAGGCATGAGCTCGTGTGCCCTGGGAGAAGCAGAGCCATATGCCATGGGCGCGGGGCTGCCTCCCCAAAGCTGCAGATTAGGGGAAAGGGTTGGGAATAACAGGGCCACCGTGCTCCTTGAGGTCAGCCCCTGCGCCCTGTAATCCCGGGGGACTGGGGCCAGCTCTGCCCCGGAGCCCTCCAGCAGCTCCCAGCCAACGATGCTGTGATGGAACTGAGCCTGAGCAACCTTTGTGGGGACACCTGTACTGGTGGGGGTGACACTTTTCTCTCCCTGCCTCCAGGACCTCCCTTCATCGTTTCCCCTCCGGAGAACATCACAGTCAACATCTCCCAGGATGCGCTCTTCACCTGCCAGGCCGAGGCGTACCCCGGGAACCTCACCTACCTGTGGTACTGGGAGGAGGAGAACGTCTACTTCAAGAAGTGAGTTTGCAGCTGGCAGGGTGATGTGTCGTCCTCCTCCTGCAACCTAAATCGTGCTGGGGCCACCGATGGGGTGGGCATTGCCCCTGGGTCTCCCTGCGATCCTCCTCCTCTCTTCTCTCACAGCGACCTGAAGTTGAGGGTGCGGATCCTGATCGACGGAACACTGATCATTTTCCGTGTCAAGCCAGAGGATGCTGGAAAATACACCTGTATCCCCAGCAACAGCCTGGGCCGCTCGCCATCAGCCTCTGCCTACCTGACAGTGCAGTGTGAGTGCTGGCAGTGGGACCGATCCTGAGGGATGGGGCTGGGATTGATAATACCCATCTCTGAGGCAGCCCCAGAGGCTCTGTCGTCCCAGTATGATACTAGGAGGCTCGGGTTGATGTGACGGCAGCCTTGGATGAGCATGCAGTCATCCTCGGCAAAAGGCTGAGAGCATCCCACGTGTGCTTGCAGGGTGTGGGCACCAAGAAAGCAAATAGCCTGAGCATCCTGGGTAGCACCACTCAGCTGGGACCAGTGTCCACCTTTGATACGAGTGGTTTTTGACTAGGTGGGCATCTTCCCACCGCTGCTACTGGCATGCTGTCCTCATCGGCTGTGTCGTGTCAGGCCGGGAAACACTGGGTCAGGGCTCTCAGTCTCAACTACCTGCTTGTGTTTTTTTGGTATTTATTATGGGGGCTTGTTCCCATGGCGTGGTTTTTCTGTGAGCTCGGTAGCTTTGCATGTCATATTTTTCGGGCGGTAACTGATCTAAACAAGCGGAGGAGAAGGGGCTGTAGCAGGAGCGTTGCTTCCCACGCTTGTTCTCTCGGGTTCCCCAGGCGGTAATGGGTAGTGTGCCACCGGCGGCCTGTGGCATTCGACAGTAATGGCCTCAATTGCTGCCGCTCGCAATTGCAATATAGCTCTGCTGTAAAAGACTGCAGCGGTTTTGTTTTGTTTTATAATGAAAGGCAGGCTTGAGCAAAGTGGGCTCGCGACTCGGGTTTTGAAGGCTGCCTTAGAGCTGCTGCCTGTAGACCCAGTGCTGGTTAGTGGGAAGCCCCACGCTGGCAGGGAGCCGCTATGAGAAGGGCTGGTAGGTCCGATCGCTTCCCCTATGGGAATGGATGAAGGGGCAAGGGGACGGTGTGAGCGGTGCCGTGCCCAGGCAGAGGCGTGATTCGGGGCTTGGATGTGCCTGGCTGGGCAGCTCTTGGGAAAGAGGGCAGCCTCAGGCCATTAAATCCGCCCTGCCGCTAATCCAGGACCACTCGTCAAGGCTGATAGCTGTTAAAAATAGTTCTAATGGCAGGAAAAATGGCGTTTGGACAATCTGCTGGACCCTGCAAGGCTTTGGTGTAAGGAGGTGTGCTTGGCTTTCTGTGCTGCAAACCCCTTTCCTCCGGAGCAAACCTTCTCATTTGTACGGGGGTTGATGCCTCGGGGAGGGCGGCTTCCCACCCACCGAAGCAGCCGTTGGATGGGGACACGGCTCTGGGTTGTTAGTGAGCCAGGCTGGCCCCCAGCCAGTGACCTAGTAGTGAAAGGCTCCATCCCATTACCCTCTCCCACGCTGCCAAAGCCCTTGATTACATTTCCTAAGAGGTGGAGTCAAGCGGGGGGGGGTAAAGCCCACTCCATATGCAGCGCTTGGCAATCTGGGTTACGGTGCCGCTGCCGGGGGTGCGAGGTTTCGGGGAGCGGTTGGGGTTACGTGTTTCTGCAGGGAGGGAGCAGAGCTCCCAAACTGGGTAGCTTTTGCTGTCCTCCATCCCTTCCTCCTAAACACCTTATCTTTACTCCCAGCTTTGCGTTTTTGCGTCAGCAGCGCAGGGATGCTGCACCCCAAAAAAATGCATTCATCCCTTAATGCAGTGTAAGCCCCATCAGGATTTTCCCGTAACCTCACGCTGCCGGTGTCTAGACGAGATTGTAGAAATACTCTCTCTTCTTATTAAAGGTAACTTTTTTTAAAAAAGCTTCTTATTAAAGAAAGTCTAGATTCTCTCCAACCCACTCGCACTTAATTAAAAAGCTCTTAGAAGCACTGTTAATGACACATTCTAGACTGGAGGATTGCGAGACGCCTCGCTGCGTGGGTGGTGCAGCGCAGGGGGGTTAGGTATGTATTTTTAAGCTTTTGCATCCCGTTGGAAAGGGTGGAGGTGGCTGATGCTCGATGCGACCCAGCCTCGATGAGGCATGGGCTGCGAGTACAAACAGATAGGAGGTAAAGGGCTCACGGCAGCCCGGCCACGGATCCCTTCTCCCATCTTGGTTGGTGTGTTTTAAGGCTCGGGAGTTGAAGTAGTTTTCATTGCTGGTGCACAGAACCAGGCTGCAGGGCAGGCGGGTGGCTTGCTGGGCGTGCGCCACACCATGCACGTGTCCCGCAGGCTGAGCGTGATGGAGCAGCTTGCGCTTCAGAAGAACAAAAGTGGGTGTGTATGTGAGACCAGCCGTATGTAATGTTTCTTCCTAACTGCAGCTTTTAATGAGCCCCAGGTAGGAACACCCTGGGCATGAGTAAAGCCTCCCAGAGATGCCAAGTATTACAGCAGATCTGTGTGTAGCAAGCCTGGAGATAACAGCCTGTGGGAGCCAAGGTGGTGTTTCAGTTTGGAACTCATTACAAAAGTGATGTAGATCCTCTGAAGCCAGGCGGTGGGGTAGAGATGGGCTCCTTCCCTGTGCTAATGTGGTGGTGCTGCTCTCCCAGATCCTGCCCGTGTGGTGAACATGCCCCCCGTCATCTACGTTCCCATCGGGATACACGGATACATCCGCTGCCCAGTTGAGGCAGAGCCCCCGGTCACTCTGGTCAAGTGGAACAAAGATGGACGTCCCCTGCGAATCGAGAAGGTAACGAAGTGCCCAGGGAGGGATGCGTGGGGGCGTGGAGAGGTTCGGACCCTTGCATCCTCTGCAAGCGCCAGTGGGCATCGCTGGGCACCCTGCGGGTCCAGCCCGCCGTCAGGAGAGGAGCAGCCCTGTGGGTGGGATGACTCTGCTTTTCCTTAGCTGCTGCGGGCAGAGTTAATTCAGGTTCTTGCGTGGAGCCCAGGGTGCCTGTAGACACGCTGCCGTGTCTCCCAGACCCAATGCCTGCAGCCCTCTAATGTGACCTCCTGATGGCCCTGTTTTTTTTTTTTTTTCCCAATGGCAACTGATGGTTAAAAGACCCTTTTAACAAGTCTCTGTCTTCCTATAATCGCGGTTTGATAGTCTGAGCAAGGATATTAGCCATTAAATATTTAAAGAGAACGCTCAGTATTTTAAATTTTTTTGCTTAAATATTAACGATCCACAGTTTTAATTCCATTTAAGCCTGTTGCTGCTGTGGGTTCCTGGCCCTTGGTGCACTCAGCCCCTTGGGTGGAGTTGTCTCCTTGGTGCCACCAGGACAAGTTTTACTTAGGGTATGATAGATTCTGATGTTAAATCTTTTGGGCTACTTGAAGAAGCCTGGCTGTGTGTATGGAGGAGAGCAGCTGCAGGATAAACCTGCCTGTCGTTGGGTGCGTACAGAGCAGGGCATCCCTTCCCGGGAGGGCTGCATTTGGATGGGCTGATCTTGCCCACGTTTCCTCTCTCTGCAGTTGAGGAGATGGCTTGGGTGCTGGGAATTGAACTGGGCATCTCTCGGGGACGTGACAGCTGCCCTGAGCTTAGGAGTGGGGCTTGGCTGAAGGCAAAATAATAAGCTGTGGTGGGTGTAGGATAAGTCAGCTCCCTCTTTCTCACCGCTGCAGTATACTGGCTGGAACCTGCTGGAAGACGGGTCGATCCGGATAGAGGAGGCAACCGAAGATGCTCTCGGCACTTACACCTGTGTGCCTTATAACGCCCTGGGTACGATGGGCCAGTCTCCCCCTGCCCGACTGGTACTGAAGGTAATTTGCCTGCTAAAATCCTCGCTCTGCAGCTGGCAGATCTGTGCCGCAGGTTTGTCTTCCCATGGGCTGGTCCCATGCCGAGAGGAGCTCCTGGGGTTGTGCGGGGTGCTGGAGTCCCAGGCCAGGGGGTGCGAACGTGTGGGAGCTCTGTGGAGGCATCTTACGCTGTAGTTAAGCTTTTTGAATATGGATTTTGCAATGTGCATGCCACTTGTTCTGCCTTCCTCTTCAGCCCAGTGCTGCAAGGGAAGATGAGGTAGTGGTTTTTTTTTTTCTCCCGTGCTGCTTATTTGTTGGTTAATTCTGTGCAGAAATTGAGGTTTTGCATTGCTTTTCTGAGTGCTTCTTTAGGAAGTGACCTGAGGAAGGGCTCTGTGCCCCCAAACTAGTCCGCTTTTCCACCTACATGACTTTCCTTAGCAAAAACCTATTGCCTCTTGCTCTGAGCCTTGTCTCTTACTTGTGCTGAGAAAGGCAAACGCGGGCCCTTGCAAGCATCCTGGAAGGGGAACAGCAGAGGCTTGAGCGCGAAGGTGCGTCTGTGCTGCGATCGGAGGCGTGCTTCCCCCCCGGGACAGGCAAACCCTGAGTGCACCCTGCCTGGCGCAGCTGGAAATGCCCCACCGGAGCGGTGGCATGGGTTTTGGCACAGACTGGGCCACAGCCGCTGTATGATGAGTATAAGGCTTTGGTAGTGCTGCACCAGGGTAGTTTGAGGAAACACGTCCCTGGGATGGCCTTTTTGCCAACAAAACACTTAGCCCTGCTGACCTGGGCTTGGGTTCACAGAGGATGTTAATAAACGGGTGATTTGAGCTCTAGAGACGCTCTGCGTGCTCTTGCCATGTGTGAAGCCTGAGGCGCGCTGGGCTCCCAGCGCAGTTATCATCGTGGCTGGGGTGGGAGCTGCTGCTTCTTCCTTCCCTGAACAAAAAGTCCTGTGCCTGTGAGCGGCGGTGATTCATGGTGTCTCGCCGAGGTTCACATGATAACGCTTTGTGTCTCAGACACATGCATCCGCTAAGACGGCTGCAGAGTCGATGCAGGTTGGTGTCTGATGCGATGTGGGTGGGTTTTTTTCCTGTTTACCTCCTTAAAACTTAAACAAGATGCCCTAGTGCAGCAGCTCTTTCGAAAAAACTTCCCTCCGAGTGTATAATTTGGTGTACCATAGAGCCTCCTTAGCGCACGCTCTCTGCCGCAGCTTTCCTTGCAATGCCTCAACCTTACCCAAACTGGTGATTCATTTGTTTTGGAAAAGGGCTGGGTTTGGGTGTGGGGAGCCGCTTGCGTGTGGTGGGACTTGGCGTGGGTTGATGCTCCTTGCCTTTTGCCTTGGCAGGACCCCCCCTATTTCACGGTGCTACCAGGCTGGGAGTACAGACAGGAGGCAGGGAGGGAGCTGTTGATTCCTTGCGCTGCTGCCGGAGACCCCTTTCCCATCATCGCCTGGAGAAAGGTACCCGGCCTGCCAGACAAATCTGCAGTGCCTTTGGCTTTTGGTGAATATTGCAGACAGAGAAGCCACACTCTGTCCCGGTAAGAACAAACTGCAGGTACAGCTGCTTCGCTTTGGGCTGAGCCACTGCTGTCCTGTCCCGCAGGTGGGTGGGGGAAGCCCGGCTTGTGGCCACCGAGTGCCTTAATCCCGTGAAACTGTCACGGCAGCATCTGCAAAGCTGAGCGCTGCCCCCGCCCTGGCCCCCTCCTCTTCCTCGCCGGCACTGCCCGCAGGACAGCCTCCTCCTTGCCCGCCTGCGAGGTGGTCACTGGCAGGACGTGGCAGCCCCGGCGATGCCGTTCTTGTGGCACGGACCTCCTATGGCGGGAGGGGACGTGCCACCAGAGCATGTCCGGGGGTGTCTCGGCTGCATTTTGGCGAGGGGCTGGACCAGTCAGCAGCTGCTTTGCTGCCCCATGACTTTGAAGACCCTGGGAAGAAGCTGTTTTAATGATGCCGGACTGGACACAATGATTTCAGGATGCCCCTCTGTGCACAGCAGGGTAGGATCTGGCATGATGGCACAGCCTGGGAGCAACCAGGGCTTGCCAGTCCTCCTCCAGCCTTCCCTTCGCTTCCCACCTTCACTGCTCCCTCCCGTAGGAAAGCCACTGTGCAGGGGACGTCCTGGGCTCTTTGTCCCCCTGTCAGGATCTTATCTCCAAGCCTCTCGTCCCCTTCTTGGGGCGCCTGAGAGTCAGCGGGGTCCCTGTGTCGTCCAGTGGGCACTGTCCTCAGTCCTTGCGGTGTGAGATGCTGAATCTTTTTGAGTTCCTTTTAGCAGCACAAGGAGGACCATGACTTGCACAGATTGCAAGTGACCTGCCTAAAACTTGTTGGCCTTTTAGTCTTTTTCTCCATCTTATTTTTCTTTCCCCTGCCCTCACCATTCTTATTCAGGTTTCTTTCCAACCCCTCTTGTGCCTTCTGGCGGTCCTCCTCATGTCATGACTCTGGCCTTATCCCCCCCAACTCCAGTCAGGGTTGGCTTGGGCTGGGCTCAGTTTCCCAGTGGCAAAAGCAAGCTCCCTCGCTCCCCATCAGCCCACCAGTGCTGACCAGTCTCTTGAAGGACTCCTGAAGACTTGGGCTTGGCACTGGTAACCCCATGTGCCCGTCCGCTCCTCTGCTCATCCTGCATGGCATTGAACTGTGGGTCCTGGTGTTGATCGGCAGAGACCTCTGCGTGCAGAACAGCTGAAGAGGACTCAGGACAACGTGGGATTTGCACTACTTTGGCGGCTGGACGTAGACATGAGTTGTTACAAGATCCATCTTTCTGCTTGACTTGAGAGCTCCCGGGCACCTCCACGCACGCCATCCTCCTGCGTCCCCATGGGGCCCTTGCTGCCCAGACCTCTGATGTGAAGGGTCCTGCCTCTCCTCTGCCGCTGGCTGAGGCTGAGGGGCGGTTTGGGCATCTCCTGGGGCAGGCGGGTGTTTGCCGGGGGTGGCCGGTGCACCTTCCTCACAGCGGTTTCAGCTTTGGATGCTGGAGGTTGAGCCCTGGCGCAGGGCTCAGTGTCCATGTGAGTGCTGTGGGGTTTTCCGCTTGTGTGTGAGTGCTGAGCATCAGCCTCCCTGACGCATGCCTCTCGCGTTGCCCCGCCAGGTCCTCTCGAAAACGGGGGAACCGGCTGCCTTGCCACGACCGGAGAGACCAGATCCCTTGCCGGTGGCCGGCGGTGTCCCCTGGGCCGTGCAGGTAGCTTAGTGACCCCGCTGCCGCCTCGCCCTTCCCTACAACCTGCTTCTGAGTTGTGTTTTTTCTCTCCTTGCCCGGCTCCCCCCGCTCCTTGCCCAAGGTAGGGAAGCCCAGCAGGAGCAAGCACAACACGCTGCCAGGCGGCACCCTGCAGATCCGCTCCCTCGGCAAGGACGACCACGGCGAGTGGGAGTGCGTCGCCACCAACGTCGTCGCAAGCATTACTGCCAGCACCCACCTTACCGTCGTAGGTACGGGCAGGGCAGGGGACGGGTCCTCGGGGACGGACGGTGGCGGGTCCCTGGGTAGGGTCCCCAAGGCAGCGTGTTGGCAAGGCAGGAGATGGGGATGTTTCCCATGAAAAGCAGTGTCTCCTTTAAATCGTATTTACCAGTGGTGCTGCCTTTTTCTGCTCTGTTATTTTGGCCGCCTGTGGACACAGCTGTCCTGCTGCTATTTCTAGCAGAAATTGCAGGTGGCCTTTGCTTGGTGAAAGAGGAGTCCCCTCAAATCACGGCTGGAAGCAGACCCCTTCCAGCCCCCCTTGCCTTTGCCGTCTGGCACGTGGTCTTGCTCCCCTTCATCCCCTCCATCTCTGTCCGCAGGCACAAGCCCTCACGCCCCAACCAGCGTGCACGTTGTGGTCGCCATGACCTCAGCCAACGTCTCCTGGGAGCCCGGCTACGACGGTGGATATGAGCAGACTTTCTCAGTTTGGTACGGCCCTCTGTGAGTCATCCCGGCATGCTTTGCTCTCTGCTTCTTTTCCTTCCTAGCCGACCCGAGCTTCGAGCAGCGGGGGGGAGGAGGGTGGTGAGGGCAGCGTGCCCAGCTCGGTGCCTATGGGCATTGCGGGGCTGAGCTCCCGTTCGGTACCTTGGAGAGACGGGTGGTGGTGGGATCATGTAGTTCCCGTGTTTCTTCTCCCTTCTGTGCTAGCCAGTATCTCCGTCTGCCCCAGTGGGTTTTGTTCTGCTTATGGTGCAAGGGAGATGCTTTGCACTCATGTAACTTTGCCTCTAGCATCTAATTTCAAGATAAACTGTTTATGAAGCTTAACAGCCAGGGAGAGGATGGAAAATGCAACCTTTATAGAGTGCGTCCTGGAAGAGCTGTGACTAAGCAGAAATTATCTCTCCTTGCTCTGTAGCTCCCTGCTGGTGGTTAAATCCCAGCTGAGTTCACGGCCAGGCACTGTGAGATGTTGGCCGGGGCTGAGCCTCGTGGGGCTCTGCTCCCATTGCTCCTGTGCTACCTGGCACCCAAAGCCAGTGGGCGCATCCCACCTTCCTGCAATGGGGCCGGGCTCGGCCCTGCCGGCTTTCCCTGGGGTAAGGGAGGGTGAAATGGAGCTGCAGCGAGGTCGAGATTTTCTTTGGGCTCTGCACTTATCTTCCTCTTCTGAAGAGCCGTCCTTGCAAACGTGGCCTTCTGTTCGCAGTTCTAGGGCTGGCGTTCTTCGGCCTTTCTTCTCGCTCTCTTTTCTTCCTTGCTTTAATTTGCCCCGATGGAGGCTGCTGATAGAGCGGAGACAGGGTAGACGCTGCCTGTAATGATTTCTGCTCTGCTCCAGCCCGAGGCTGGATGCTCGCGGGGTGGGGCTGGACAGTCTGTCGGGAGATGGAAAGAAGAAAGAATGGAGTGAGCAGAGGGGAGAAAGGAGGGAGCGAGTGGAGCGGTGCAGACCTTGCTCTGATGAAAATGTCCTTGGGAAGGAGTGGTTAAACCTCTCTGCTCTGGAGACGTGGCTGACCTTGGAGGGAGCTGCTGCTCTTGCTCTGCAACCTGCTGCTGGGTTCCTGCCTCCCCAAGGCTTTTCCAGACCCCACACCAGCAGCTAGCGGCAGGGAAGGGTGTTTGCACCAAGCTTGCCTTAGGGAATTTACAGGGTGCTGTGGGGACCTGGGAGTAGGGAGGCAGAGACCTGTCTTGCCCTGTCTGTAGGGTGTGAGTCCTGGGGCTGCGCTGCTCCCTGGGACCAGGGATCTGGGATGGTACTGGGCTATCTAGTGCCGTCTGGAGAGCTGGCCATCCGTGCGTTTTCCTCCCTGCTGTGGCTATGAGATGCTCAAGCAAAACATGGCTTCGCCTCCCATGGAGTTCATGCTCTCCTCCCGCTTCTGCGGTTGTTGATGCTGGAAATGCAAACCCCGCTCCCCAGGGACGGTGAGGGCCACCGCAGCATCCCGCCTGCGTATGGGCTGTCCCTTGGCAAGGGTGGTCTCCTGTCCCCGGGAGCAATTAGTGCCGCATTTACCCTTTGCTCTCCCCATCCTCAGCCCCTTGCCGTTGCGTGCCTGCCTGTAGCAGCGCTGCGGAGAAGGGATGCGAAGGTGGTGGGGTTAAATGCTGCAGGGAACCCGCACCAGGCGAAGGGCTGCTCCACTGCCCTCCGTGCCTCTGCTGCGGCGGCAGGGGATCCTGGGAGCTGTAGTCCCAGCCGGAGCCGTGGTGATACAGAGGTTTTCCTGCCCACAGCCGCTCGGTTTGGTGGAGGCACGCTGCACATGCATGGCTCTCCGCCGACTTGCTTGTTGCCATAGCTTGCTGCTGCTTCTCCTGCCTCACCTTTTGCTCCCTTTCCAGCGGCATTATTTGTCTTTGCTCCATCTTTTACTTCCTACTCGGTGGATTTACCTGGCTGTATGCCAGCGGCTACAGATATGCTCACTTACCTATGCAGAACAGACAGTCTGCAGTAATCCCTCCCAAATCCTCTGCGGACACCACCGAAACCTGCAGCCAAGGGCTGGGACTCCCTAGAGTGTCTCTCTAACATGAGCACCGATCCTTGCAATATCATTGCAGCACGGTGATGCTGCTTTGGGACATGAGGCTCTTTCACCGTGGTGCCTCTCGGCAAGGTTATGGCTGGTGGAGGTGGCCGCACGCTCGTGTGTGCTGGGGTCGCACTGGGAGAGCTCTGGGAGCTTTTTTCACCCTGGGTTTGTGGGTTAGACCGCAGCAGAAAGGCTGTGTCCTGCACTCCCTGCAAGTGCCTTTGCTGCACTGCCAAACCCCGAGTTATGCCCTGGGCTGTGCTGGCAGCCCCCAACTTGTACAAATATGGCAAGAATGGTGATTTAGTTAAATGTCTCTTGTGGGATTGCATGTACAGGGCTACAGCTGAGGGAAGACTTGGCTCTGGCTCAGGAGCTGTCAAGGTATAAATGGGAACAGGGCCCATGTCCTGCTCCAGCCGTCCCCTTTGCAGCACTCACCGGAGTAAAAATGTGCCAGCTTCCACTTTTGCCCATGGGAATCTGACGGAGATAACCTCAGAGCAGGGCTGTTGGCACTGCTTTTGTCCCTGACCTGCTCAGGGAGCGCCGGTGGTGCACGGCAGAGGGGAGGGCCGGTGGCAGTGTCCGTATGAGCCAGTGGATGCTGGTGTGGCACAACGGGATGGTGCCCTGTGCCTGGCAGTCCTCGTGTGCGCCATCCCCCAGCCAGCTCTTGGGTGGCGAGTGGCTGCCCCATGTCCATACACATCGCTGCTGTCAAACCAAACCATTGCTCAGGAAAGCTCCATTTTCGCTCGAGACGTTAATGCTGCCTCTTTGTCCTCCCTGTCGAAGGCACCTTCCCTGAGAATGCTCCCTTTTCTCTTGGCAGGATGAAGAGAGCCCAGTTTGGCCCCCACGACTGGCTATCTCTCCCTGTGCCAGCTGGTTCCAGTTGGCTACTGGTGGATACCTTGGAACCAGAGACTGCATACCAGTTCAGTGTCTTGGCTCAAAACAAGCTGGGTACTAGCTCCTTCAGTGAGGTGGTCACTGTGAACACTCTAGGTAGGTCCTCCATGGGCACAGGGGGAGGAGGGGGAAGGGATTCAGGAGGTCCGTGGGGAGAAGTGGCCTTTTGCCTTGGTCCATGTGTCCTGTCTGCTGGGGATGGAGATGGCAATCAGCAGCGATAGTTTCCAGCTGCGTAGAAGACAGTTTGTGGAGGGTCCTGGATGAAGCTTGTAGACTTTGCAGGATGCATGAGGCCCCTGAAAGCTTGTCCTAGGAGATAGCATGGGAGAACGGTACTCACTTGGGTACAGCTCAGAGCAGGGCTAACGCAAGGGGCCTTGCGCTGGTACCTTGGGGTACCCAGCTTTGGGGCTGTCTCAGGCAGGGCTGGGAGGAAGCAGGAGGTTTTCTAATGCTGTGCCCCTTTTCTTGGAGTCACTGCATCATTAGTCCCCTGCTTTTTGGAAAGCCACTTTTGTATCTCTGAGATAAGAGAGCACATGCCCGAGACGTGCCCTAAACTCCTGGAAGGTGGGAACTGCTGCTGCTGTGGTGGCCCGTCGGCCACCGATGGGGCACATGTGGGAGAGCATCCTCTGTGCTTCCCATCTCAAAGGTGTCCCTGTCCCGTCTGCTCTGTCTCCAGCATTCCCTGTAACAACTCCAGAGCCTCTGGTGTTGGTTACCCCACCGAGGTGCCTAACAGCCAACCGGACACAGCAAGGAGTCCTCTTGTCGTGGCTTCCTCCCGCTAACCACAGCTTCCCCATTGACCGCTACATCATGGAGTTCCGCATCGCAGAGAGGTGGGAGATCTTGGACGATGGCATCCCGGGGACCGAGAACGAGTTTTTTGCCAAGGACTTGTCCCAGGTAAGCAGGGGCTGCCCACACTATACCTCTGGTGTTGCACTGTCTGCTGCAGCTCTGGAGAAGCTTTTGGGGTGGCTCGGTCCCCGTGCTGGGGTCTTCAAGCAGCTGGGCAAGGTTGGAGGCTGTGGTGGGGGACCTGACGGATGTGCTTGGTGTTTCAGGACACCTGGTATGAGTTCCGGGTCCTGGCGGTCATGCAGGATCTCATCAGCGAACCCAGCAACGTTGCTGGCGTGTCCAGTACAGGTAAGGGGTGGCTCCTTCTTCTACCCCCAGCATGTGGGAGCATCTCTGCTTCTGCAGGTACCTGAGCTAGCGCTCAGGTCGTACATCAGTACTTGCTTACAACAGCAATGGCTGGTTTTGTGCTTTTGCCCGAGATGCTCGGGCTGCGAGCTGGGCTGATGGGCACACGGTTATGATCAGTGTCCTGGGCACGCTGCTGTCCCCGTGCTGCCTCCCGATGCAAACGGACCAGAGGCACTCGGAGCGGGCAAGGACAAACCGCCCCATTTAGTCCTTACCGCGGAGCGCGGTATTGTCGGGCATCCGTTGGTGCAGAGTGGCAGCACATCTCGGCTCTGTGGGGTGCCCGGAGAACAAAGCTCCGACCAGGCGCTGCGCAGCATGGAAATGGGAATGAAAGGTGCAGAGAGGGAAACGTAGCACTGCAGTGCAGAGTCCAAGGGGAAAAAAGCTTTGCAACAGGAGACTGCAACATGCTGCAGCTTGCGCACGTACCCTGCACCCCGGTCCAGCTCGGAGGATGCTCTCCGAGCAAGGGACAGGTGAGGGTATGTGATTGCAATAGGGAGGGTAAGGGCAGCAGGAGAAGATGGGGATGCAGCAAACCCTGCTTTTATGGCTTTTATGGAAAAGCCGAGGAGCCACCCAGCTCTGCTGCACGCAGGAATG